GCATCGTAGTGCTGCGAAATGGAGAGCAAAATTACTAGTAGTAACCCTGTCCACCACGCGGTCTGCTAGTCACACTGCCTTGAGTACTACAGTACATGTGAAGTGTTGCTTAGTGTATCCCTTGTGTTTAGAACCATGCGAAGGGTTGGTACCATAAACGCGGGGCTGGTAACTTCCAGAATCGGTGCCAAAGTAGTTTCCCTCGGTGGTTGCTCAAGCAAGGAATCTCTGCTGCGTAGATATCCCATAGTGATGGGTTAGGACAATTGGGAATATTAGGGGTATTCCCGAATAATCCTCTCCCATGTCCAAATTGGCATTGCTGATAGTCAATCTAGTATGACCTTATGCACGTCCAGTTTAGCACGGAGGCCATCGGTAGGCATCGATGTCTGGGCACACATATTGGGATAGGTCTTCTGGTGCCATCATGTGTTGTCTCATTCCGTCACTGTCCTTGAAGTAGCGTTGATGTCGAAGATGTCTCAGCTACTCGGCAAATAGGGGTGTTGTTGGAGATACGCGAAGTCCACTGTCCGGAGTGGTGTCGGCGCTCCATTCACGCCTATCTGCTTCCATAGAGTTGGTGCTGGTGATGGATTAATTGCGACGCCGGTATTATGACTTTAAGGAAAGCCATAGGCCATGAGGACTTACATACCAGTAGAGTACCGTAGTCCTCCCATCCTCATAAGAGCAAATATCTTCTGCTCTTGAGGGTCTATGGCATTGCCATAATGTTCCCTCGCTTAGTGGTATCTCCTTCCCACTAGCTGGAAATCATAGTATTGTGCCTGGCCGGGACTTAACGATCCACTGGAAAATAATCCAGCATTATCTTCATTGAGGGGGTGAATCATCCATCAGGATTTGGATATGACTGTTGTGTCGAGTCTTCTGCTGCGGCGGCGGCGGCGGCGGTTGCGACGATGGCGACGGCGGCAGCTGCTGCAAAGAATTCTCTTAACTCGTAATGGTTGACGGAGAATCCATCAACTCCCTCATCCTAGTAGAGTTGTCCTGATGGGTGTAACAGCGTAACTACCAGGAACATGTGCACATTAGTACACATGTGTTGCTTCATTGCTGCCGGTGATTGTTTCATTTGAGGGTGTGAAGAGAAATTTGCTTCTCCCCTCAATATATCCCCGGGTAGCAATTCCTGGTATGCTCATCCGTGCATCTAATGTACGGTCGGTAGAGCGCGTGATCGTGTTGTAGTAGTCCGCATCTCCCTCATGTATTGACACCTCGTGTTGCTTGGCGTTCTCCTGCATCGTCGAAGTTACGCTGGTGCTTGTAACGCTTCGGCTTCTGGTAGAATCGCCTCCAATGCATGTGCCGTAGGGTTACTAGCGAGCGAGTACTTGCCAGATTAGAGGTTAATTACTCCTCAATCTGTCAAGCATCGTGATGTGCACGGAATTTTTTTCCACACAGGTCATTAAAACCTGGAATCGCGACGCATGATTGGTGTGTCGCCTCGTGAGGTCGATGTTGAGACTGCTTCAAATAATCACTTCGGATGGCTGAGATTCTTGATGAAGACGAATCGTTCAGCTCCTGTTACGAAGTAGTGTCTCTCTGGCCATGACGAGACGGGTTCACTGCGTCGTCGTTGCGTGCAAAATCTGCTCATTCGCAGCAACTTGATGTCAGGAATATTGCAAGAGAAAACGGCTACTTCTCTGCAATCCCATAGGTTGTCGATCAAATTTATGAGATGAAGTATCTCATGGATGGAGAACATGTCTTCACGCGGCTCCATTGTTTTCCTGGGTGAAGATCTCGCTGTATTGATGTCGATCCATTTTGAACGAATATGACTTCGTCAAAATAAATCGATCGTTATCGACACTAGGTAGAAGATGCGTCGATTGTGCAGTCGCTGGTCACAAATGTTGTCTCCATGATAATGATTTTCCATAGTGTAGTCTCCGCTGCATTCATGCCGTCGATTCCGCAACGATCCGACGATCCACGTTCTCCTGTCATTTTTCTGCTTGCAACATTTGGCAGATTTCATGGAGATGGCAGATTTCTGACTTGGCAGATGGTTTGCGCCCCAAATTCGTGACCAAATGGAGGAATTCGATTATGGTTGTCCAGATGATGAGACGGTGTCGAAGGCGGCTGATTTCTGGTTCTACGCGTCATTCTCCCTTTGTGATGAAGCTGCGCTCCATCTCGTCCGTTGAAGGCGAAGTCGATCCGACGGTCCAAACTCCAAGCGATCTGAAGATATTCCTGAGTCGCGTTCAGCAGCTTTCGGTGCCCGGGCTGACTCGTTTCCTGCAGCAATTCTCGGTCGTCGATGTCGGTTGTCGAACGATCGGACGCTTTGAAGAATTTCGCGGCTTGCGAGGTCCCGTTCCCATTCGCGCTGAAAATTGAACTCGCTCAAAAGGTTTCGGTTTCGCCTCGGTCGATCTGAAGCGTCGAATCCCCATCGGACGGATGTCGTCGTTCGCAGCTCCGCACATTTCCGCGCAACTCCGAGTGTCGTCGCGAACTGCGAACTCCTCGGAATGTCGCAGGGAGGGGTCAGTAGGGGGCCCGACCGCTACTGACGCTTGGCGTTTCCCGACGTGTCTCCGTCGTTCTTCTTTATCTGCTTCATTCGGGGGCAATCGTGAGACTGGTGACCCGGCTGGTGGCAGTTGAAACATTGTCATTTGGGAAAATCTTCCATGTGCTCCTTCGCCACTACGCCGTAAATCGTGGGCCGTGGATCCTGGCCACGAAAACGATTTCCCTCCCGGGAACCCGCTCTCGCATACGTCCGATGCGCGTCGAAAGTGTCTACGATCTGAACTGCTTCGTGAAACGTCGCTGGTAGTCGCAGTCGAACCTCGCATTTAATGCCATGCTTTAGGCCCAAAATGAATCAAGCCTTCTTCTCGGTGTCATGCATGTCGGTGATTTGATCGCATAACGCCATGAAGACCAACGCGTAATCTTGGACAGAACTCCACTAGCGCCAGTTGTCCAGCTTAGTGCGTGCGTTGTCCGTGGCAGATATGGGCTCGAACCGTTCACGCAGAGCTGTACCCCACGCCTTCCACGTGCGAGTCTTCGTCGATTCGAAAATCGCGGTTGACCCTTGGGCAGCACACCCAAAGTTTCCGAAAAACCCCTGTGTGTCGCCTGCCGAAAACTCCCCCTCCTGTAGTGTATATCGCCACCAATCTAGTGCAGGTCCCCGCAGTATTGATACAGCCAGCCAAATTTTTAAATCGTCAGCGGTGATCCCAGCGGCATTAAAATAAATTTTCGCCGAAAATAACCAGCCTGTACCAGTAGTATTCTTATCTGTGGGGTTGAACGGGGGTGGCATTGTCGGTTTGATCGTTGCTGTCGTCACTATCGGCACGAATGCCGGTGCGGCTACAGTAGCGGCTGCTTCTGACCGAGCGGCTGCTGCTGTCGCTGCTGCTGCTCGTGCTGCCACGTCAGCTGCTACGGCGGCTTCGCTGTCCTTGCGCTCCCGAGACACCTCACGTGCGATTTCGTTCAAAACGGTTTCGACACGTCCGGTGCTGGCGACCTCCTCTTGGGCGGCAGTTTTCTGGCGTGAATCCTCTCGCACTTGGCGTAACTCGGCAACTTCTGCACGAAGTCGCTCGTTGTCCTCCAGCAGTGTAGCCATGCGTGTGTTCATGGCGCTGAACTGCTCCCGAAGCTTGTTGAACTGAGCTTGGTCCATTTGGCGAATGCTCCGCCGGGGCAGGGGGAAATCTGTAGTGTGCCTGTACTCAGGTAAGCGCAAATGCTATCGTAGTTGGGCGAATTAATCAGTCTAATTCGCGAGCAGCCGCTTTGCAGCTTAAGTGAGGGACTTACCCCCCTCCCCCCCCCCCTCGAAAAAAAATCAACTCACGAAAACGGATGAGCGAGGAAAGTGGCTATGAATACCAGGTGTTATGAATGAACAAGCAGAGTAGCGCGAAAATGAATAACGAAGTGTTCAATCACTGAATGACGATACAAGGAATGGCAAGCCAAGATATAGGAACACCAGAGCTAGTCTATCCATGAGATGGGAAGGTTTGGGAAAGAGATCGAAGGGTCTCGGAGTGACGAAGCGAGGCCCAGAGAACTCCCGAAGGTCGAAATAGAGGGTCTGGAGAAGCCGAGGCGGTTCTGTCAGAAAGGTCCGGAACCGTCCCGAGGCTTCGGGTGTGTTCGAGTGTACGCGATAGCAGTACCGCTCGGTAAGGAATGGAAAATTCCTTACAGCATGGATATAGCTAGCCTAGAGCATACGGTCGTGGCTCGGCAGCGCTGCGACGTGTGTTTCGTAAATTGGTGCGAAGCGCCTAGATCTAGGCATGAAACATCAAGACGGGAAAAAAATGCATGCGGCTCGCCAGTAGGCCACATTTTGGTACCGCGATGTGAATTTCACGGTAGAGGTGCACGTCAATCCTGTTATGGCGGTGTACGCCTTACTACCTTAAACCTGTGATAAGGAAATACCATTTCCTTACAATCACACTTGCCTCCTCAAGTCAGATTCCTCCGAAATGTAATGCAGGTGTTTCACGAAATGCGCCGTGGAATGAAGCGCAATGCAGAAGAAAAGGTTTCACGAAAAGATCTCCCGCACGACTAGGGAATGCCACGAAACCCGAACGAAGCAGATCTTGCCTGCGAAACTGGTCACCTCATCACCCACCACTAGTGGCTAGCTTGATGAGCCAACCAACCCCTTGTTTCCTTGCTCAGTACGAAATTTGGGAGGACCAATTCGCGGCTCGAAAATCCTCAAGACCAAGGAAGGAACTTGCCATAGCTGTTCCTGTCTAGAGCAATTCCCATAATGCCTAGGTGTCGCCCCCACAGCCCAGCAGCAACCCCTGTTCAGGACCTAGCATGCTTCAAGCTTCAAGCTTCAAGCTCTGGGTAGTTCCTGTTACGAGTGTGCTTTGCCGCCGGCCTAGCATCTGCCGACATCAGCGCAAAATCTAGCGGCCATAAGGCAACGTTAGGGCCGGCAAAATAGGTCTACCTATTTCGTGGTGACGGTGCTAGAACGGTGGGACTGGCGGTGGTACAGTGGGGATTGGCCGGGAAGGATTGAGAAGCACGGAGGAAAAACGAAATGGAAAAAAAGGCTACTAGTAGGGTGCGGTACACGTTCGGTAGGTCAGTTCCAGTGACAACCGAACCTGCTTGCGCGCCCCGAGGAGAAACGGGTCAGACGCATTACACGAGTCGCGACACGTCTCCATTCTGCTTGCCTAAATCTGTCATTTCTGTCCATTTCTGTCGTGCATTGAACCTATCACCGACTGATAGAGAATCTGAGACTACCTCTCTCCGATTCTTGCAATTTCCGATTTCCGAGCTCCGACTTCCACCGTCAGCCGGACCACTGTGAGAAAACCATACCCAGTCCTGCGCGGCCAACTCAGCTCCGTAAGGCCATCCCGGCGGTACTACTACTAGTAGTAGTAGTAGTGGTATCATGGCGGCTGACGCCGTTCCAGCTACTACAGGATGGGCCACTACTACTAGTGGTAGCGCATCCAACTCCAACTTGGAGAACGCAACACTGGCCTTTCTTGTTCTTGATTCCACCGTGTCAAGCCTCACGTACGCGTCGAGCTGCGTCCTCGCATCTCCAACGCTCGTGACCATCGCATTAGTTACGGCGGCGGTGATCGTTCTCGGTTCCTGGAGCTCCTTCTTTCGACGCCGCCATTCCCTTCCCCCCGGACCATCCCCATGGCCCATTTTCGGCAACCTTCCGAACTTAGGTCCGACGCCTTACCGCTCCATGGCCGAAATGGCAGAAACGTACGGGCCCATCCTGACCGTTTGGTTCGGTTCTACGCCAGCTGTGGTCATCTCGTCGCCGGAGCTCGCCCGAGAGGTGCTTAAAACGAAGGACAAGTCGTGCTCGTCCCGCCCGGTAACGCGCACTCTGCAGCAGCTCAGCCTCGGCGCGAGGAACCTCATCTTCTCGCCGCCCAACGACAGCTGGCGCACGCAGCGGCGGCTCGCGGCGCTGCACCTCCTGTCGACGCGGCAACTGCAGGAGAGCCTCGCGGTTCGAGAGCGGGAAATCCGCGACATGCTCGACGCGATTGCTTCAGACTCCGCCGCTTCCGCCGCCGCCGCCGCCGCCACCGCTGCCGGCCTTAGTTCCAGTGGTCCTGCTGGCGGCATTTCCGAGGGCTCCTCGTACGGGTCGTCCTGGGACGGTAGCACTATTACCCTCCGAGGTATCGAAGTGCGCAGGTATCTTAGTCGAGCTACGCTGAACAACATCCTTCGGCTGACTGTTGGCAAGCACTTCAGCTATGACACCATCCGCCACGCTGCTGCTGCTGCTGCGCCCGGCGAGATGCTTGCGAGCGCCATGAAGGTCGACTGGAACCGACGCATAGCCGCAATCAGCAGCGTGACCCGCGACGCTGCACGTGGTATTTGCAGTGCAGGTGGTGCAGGTGGTGCAGGTGGTGCAGTGGAATCTGCGGTGGGGGAAGGGGAGGGGGAGATGCTGATCGCCATGATTGAGGAGGGCTTCGCGCTGCTGGGTGCATTCAATCTCGGTGACTACATTCCATGGCTTGCTCGCGTGGATCCGCAGCGGATCTTTGCACGCGCCGTGCGCCTGAGGCCGCAGATGCACGGATTCATGCGCGCATGCATCGAGGAGAGGCGGCAGGTGATGAGAGGAGAGGCGAGCAAACGCAAGGACTCGGTGAACTGTGACCCTTGGGAGGAGGGAGAGCATGGACGGCAGGAAGGGAAGGAGGAGGTCCCTCCCAGTGGGGAAGGGGACAAGGTGGCGCCAGCCAAGTCCGGTTCAGGCAAGGTGAGTGAGGAGGAGGGCGCGGTTTTTTCCGAGAAACGTTCCCCCGTGACGTTTGTAGACATGCTGTTGGAGAGGGAAGGTGAGGGAGAGGATGAGGTGGAGAGGGATGTGATTCTCATGCTTGCACTGGATATGGTGATGGCGGGGACCGACACCACTGCCAAGACCGTTGAGTGGGCTCTTGCTGAGCTGGCACAGCACCCAGGTGTGCTGGAGAAGCTCCAGGCTGAGGTGGATGCAGCCTATGCCAGGTCGGCAAGTGTTATTATGGCTACTGAAGCGGGCACAATGGGGTATGCCCCCAATGTTTTGCTCCCGGTTCAAGAGATGCCGTACCTCCAGGCAGTGATAAAAGAAACGCTTAGGCACCACCCGGTTGCGCCACTCCTCGGCCCGCACCTGACTACTGATAGGGTAACTCTGGGAAGCTACAATATCCCGCCGAACACCATGATCCAGATCAATGCCTGGGCGCTTGCGCACGATCCAACGGTCTGGATCAACCCGCACAACTTTGACCCGGCAAGGTTCCTCGACCCTGCTGCTCCTGACGTTTCCGGGCAGAATTACAGCCTGCTGCCGTTCGGTTCGGGCAGGCGTGGGTGTGCCGGGATGGGTCTGGCACAGGACCTGGCAGCTCGGATGCTTGCCAGTTTCGTTCTGCGCTTTGACTTTGAGCTGCCGGCAGATGTGAAGGCAGGTGGAGGGGTGGACATGGGGGAGACTTTTGGGCTGACCTTGGCAATGGCTAAGCCGCTGAGGATTGTGACCAAGGAGAGGAAGGTAAAGCAGCCAATAAAGGCTTGAGCTTGCAGGGTTTGCGTTTGAGTCAACTTAACAGCAGCGGGTGGAGGGGTGGACTTGGGGGAGAGGTTTGGATGGACTGGCCATGGCTTTGGCTGAGCTGCTCAGGATTATGGTTAGAGAGGAAGGAGAGCGAGCATCTTATGCTGTGATGCTGTTGCCATGAAGGCTTGAGGTTGCCAAGAAGAGTCCAGGTCCCTGAGCTCCCGGCTTGCTCCCCAAACCTTCTGATTTCAACTACCATGGCGGTATTGTTCTACAAGTAGACCTTGGTCGTTTTACTGTGTGAGCAAGCTACAAAAGGCAGCCTCAAATGTCATTCTTCCGACAGAACACCATGCTTGTTGTTCAGTGATTTTTGTCGCAATAAGTATAGACCCCATCGATTCTATAATGTTGTTGTATTGCCTAGATATGAGGTACTACTCCTCCCAATACGCCCTTTTTTTACCAACCATATACTCGCGCACAGAATACAACTACACGGCGCGAATAAAACCATGCAAAGCGGCGATCCGAAGGGCTGTCAGTTGGTGCACGACCCCTTCAGCATTCGCCTTGCGAGAGCTTCGCTTCCCCGGCATCAAAACACCGAATCCTCCGAAACTTCAACCACAGTCTCTGCATCGTCCCGGTCAGTCCGCTGGTCCTCATCCAACTCCGTGCTCACCACCGTATCCTCATCCCCCTCGTCAATCCGGTACTGAGGGTAGTGGTCCCGCACATTCATGCCATCGTCCCGCACACTCAGCGCGTCCTCCCACCCGCGCGAGTAGCTGTCCCAGTCCCGGGGGAAGAGCTGCAGCTGCTGGGACTGGTGCATGGACCAGCCACGAGATAGCATCATGCTGTTGGAGTGGGGCGCACCCGCCATGGGGTAGTCGTCGTCTGGCACGAGGTACTGCCATTCGTCTACGAAGAAAGGTGGCACCTGGAGGTGGGGGTGTGGAAGGGGGGAGCGGCAAGTGGGATCGGTGCATGGAGCAGCCTGGAGCAAGCACCATGCTGTTGGAGTGGGACATGCCTGCCATCACGGGGCAGTCGTCGACTGGCACGAGGTACTGCCACTGGTCTACAAAGAAAGGTGGCTCCTGGAGGTGGGGTTGTGGGTGAGGCAGGTGGGGTTCGTGGGGAATGGAGGATTTGAGGATAACATGCAGGAGAGAGGAAGTGTCACTTGGGAGAGAGATTGAGATTGTTGAACTTGAGATGAGGGAGGGGAAGAGAAGGAAGGAATGAGAGGAAAAGAAGGAGATTGAAGAGCACAAACCTCTCCGAGGAAGGAGAGCCACTGTTGGCGCCACCACTCTCTGGCGGCGACGATCAGCAGCACCAGGCTGGCGTGCATGCCAAAGACGAGGAAGAGCACGATAGAGTGAGAGAGGAAGAGAAGAGGAGAGAAGGGCAGAGCACAAACCTCTCCCAGGAAAGAGAGTCGCTGTTGGCGCCACCACTCCCTGACGGCGACGAGCGGCAGCACAAGGCCGGCATGCATGCCAAAGGCAAGGAAGAGCACGGCGCCCTGGCTGTACGACAGCAGCACGTGCATCAGCAGCAGCAGCAGCGCCAGGTGCCCCTCCAGACGCCCGTCCTGAGGGGGGAGCGGGGGGGATGAGGATGAGCGGGGAAGGGAGTTTTGAGACGACTCAGACCTGGCTGTGGGGCAGCAGCACGTGGATCAGGAGCAGCAGCAGAGCGCCGGGTGCCCCTCCAGACAGCTGTTCTTAGGGGAGAGAGGGGGGGATGGGGATGAGCAGGGTAGAGAGTTTTGAGACGTCTCAAAACTGGCTGTAGGAAAGCAGAACGTGGATCAGGAGCAGCAGCAGCGTTGGGTGTTTTCCAGACGGCCTTCCTGAGGGGAGAGAGTGGGGGATGAGGGGTAGAGAGGGAGGTGAGGTGAGGGCACGAGGGAAAACCAGCAGAATGAGTGAACCGGTTGTGGAAGTGGGCGATTCAGAAACATGCAGACCTTACAGACAAAAAGGACGCACTCTTCAAGAATGCATGTACGCAGAAGAAAGCATGGCAGGGGGGTTGGGAAGGACTTTGGGGAGGAGGACGTTGGGAAGGAGGTTGGAAATGGGGACGTTGGGAAGGGGTGGAGGGCGGTACGGGACGGTACGTTGAGGAGGGCGAAGATGGAGATGGTGCAGGATACGAGCATGGAGAAGACGGCGTAGCAGCAGAAGAGCAGCAGCGCGTTCTGCGAGTCCAAGTCCGTCTTCTGCCGCCACCGCGTCGCCACCACCCTGCCACACCACAAGGGGGGGAAGGGGGGAGAGGGGTGCATGGTGATGGGCGGTGATGCATGTGCTGTGCGGTGATGCATGTGCTGTGCGGTGATGCATGTGCTGTGCGGTGATGCATGTGCTTTGCGGATGATGCATGTGCTGTGCGGTGATGCATGTGCTGTGCGGTGATGCATGTGCTGTGTGGTGATGGGCGGCGATATTTGTGGTGTGCATGCACTGTGATTGAGATGGGAGGTGCATGACCGAATAGCAACTATGAGGGAATGTGCCATCTGATATTCCTAATGCTGCATCAGCACGGAAGTAATCAGGCAATGCAGACAGTGCTCCAGTGCAGTGTACCTGGACGGAGACAGTAGCAATGCAGTGTACCTGGACGGAGACAGGAGCAGGGCAGGAAGCATCTCCCCATCCGTATGCCCGGCCACACTCATCCCACTGTCCATACTCCGAGTCTCAATCCTCCCAGCCTCCCTCTCCCTTTCCCTCTCCCTATCCCACTCCCTCCCCCTCTCCCTCTCCCTCTCCCTCCTTCCCAGTGAGCTTTGCCGGCTCAGTGGCAGGGACAGAGGGGCTCCAGAGAGAGAAGCTGCGGAGGGAAAGTAGACACCAGGAGTTCCTGCAGCCGTGCCTGCACCAGCAGAGCCCGCACCAGCAGCACCCCCAGGTGCTGGTTGGTGCGGGCCTGCCAGGTTGCTCCCTGCTGCAGCAGCGGCAGCAGCAGCGGAAGAGGCGGCAGCTAGGGAGAAGGAGTTGTGTCGGCTGGCTATTCTGCTGCCCGGCCTGCTGCTGCTGCTGCTGCTGCTACCGATACCTGCTAGCACGCTTGATGGTCCTGCTGCTCCCAATGCTGCTGCTGCGGCTGATGGTCCGAAAGAGGAGGGCTCTCTGCCGGTGGTGATGCTCTTGCTGGAAAGGGTTCCGAACCCTGCTGCTGCTGCGAATAGACGAGCGAGGTCCTCGTGGTCGGAGGGAGGAGGAGCTTGGAAGGGCACTGATACCATCTGCTGCTGCTGCTGCTGCTGCTGCTGTTGATGCATGAGGCGTGGGCTAACAGCTTGTTTCGGTGAGTTTAGTGATGCAGACTCAGAAATATATGGAGGCGGGTTGTAGCTCGATGGTTGCTGCTGCTGCTGCTGCTGCTGGTACCAACTTTGAAGGGGAGAACCAGCAACTGGAGAGTGAAAAGCACCACCTGCACCTGCTGCACCACCTGCACCTGCTGCACCAGCTGTACGAGAGAAGGATGATCCCGATTGGCGAGTGGGGGAGAGAAGAGCGGTGGCAATCGAAACAGGCGGTGAAGAGGCGAGGGAAATTGCAGGACCAAGCCGAGAACGCGGCTTGGAAGGGGACGCTAGAGGCCCGGAAGCACCAGCAGCAGCAGCAGGAGCAGGAGCAGGAGCAGGAGGAGCAGCAGGACTAGCAGCAGCAGAAGAAGAAGATGGAAACGCAGAGAGCGGAGTAAGAGTGGGGTGAAGAGGGAGAAAGGGCGGAGGGGGAGGGGCAGCGAGGTGCTTGTTGGGGGGAGGCTGCCAGGAGAGGGGCAGGTCGGGCCATTGGATGGGCAGGCCCGAGGCTCGCAGGCCGGCAAACTGCTCCCAGATGAGCAGAGTGAGGCTGCTGATGATGATGGTCACTGGTGGGGAAATGGGAAATAGAAGGGGGGGAGGGGGAAATGGGGAGACTATTTGTGAGGCGCAGGCATGAGGCACGCAGCCTGACAAACTGCTCCCAGATGAGCGGCGTGACGCTGCTGATGATGATGGTCACTGGTGGGGGGAATGGGGGCAGACGGTGGGTGCGGAAGAGTGGGGAGGCAGAGAGTATAGGAGAGGGCGAGAGAGGAGAGGAAAGGAGGAGGGAAGGAGATGAGAGGAGAGGAAAGGAGGAGGGAAGGAGATGAGAGGAGAGGAAAAGAGAGGTGAGGAGGGGGAGAGCATAGGAGAAAGGAAGTGGAGTACATGTGAAAGCAACGATGGCCCATACAAACAATGCCTGACCCGCAAGTCCATACCCGTGCCTGTCCCCATGTCCCTATGCCCCTATGTCCCTATGTCCCCATGTCCCTATGCCCCTATGTCCCTATGCCCCTATGTCCCTATGTCCCCATGTCCCTATGCCCCTAGGTCCCTATGCCCCTATGCATGCTTGTACGCGAGGCATCATCACGAGCATCCCAGTGCACATACCTGCGATGGAGTAGATGATGAGTGCGATGAGGAACTGCAGCGACCCAAAGGGGTACCAGCAGCTTATCCTGCACATGCCATGTCATGTCATGCCATGTCATGCCATGCCATGCCATGCCATGCCGTGCCATGCCATGCCATGCCATGCCATGTCATGCCAAGCCATGCCATGCCATGCCACGCGGGGGAGAGATGGAAAGGGGTGTGGACGACCGTGCGAACAATGGGGGATTGCATTGCATGGGGAGGGAGGCAGTGCCATGCAGGCCCATGGCCAGTTTTAGCCACTCAAAGGAGCAATCAAAGAAAGAAAGAAAGAAAAATTCAACCACACCGAAAGTACAGAGATACCCAAGACCCAGAACTCTTAACCCCGAAACCCTCAAATCCCAAGTCTGAACCATGGCCCCTCATCACTTTTGAGTCGACTCAAAAGTCACCTGATCAGACGGGTGTGTTAATCCGTACACAGGTCCGCTCCAGAGCCCTGATCCGTACACCCAATCTCACAGGTCAGTGGTGCAGAGCGCAGGGACATCTGGCCAGGTGGGGGCGAGCATGAGCGGCAGCACCACGGGCATGGCGGCAGCAGTCCAGCCCAAGAAGACGTGTGCTAGTCTCTGCTGCGATTCTCAGTCACAGGTCAGCTTTTGAGGCGCCTCAAAAAGAGTCTCACTCACAGGTCAGTGGGGCAGAGTGTGGGAATGTCCGGCCAGGTGGGCGCGAGCATGAGCGGCAGCAGCACAGGCATGGCGGCAGCAGTCCAGCCCGAGAAGACGAGCAGGAAGCGCAGGCGGTGCACCAGGGGAGGGCCCAGCACGGAGCACAGGAGCTCGGAGAGAGCGAGGAGCGCGGTGAAGACGGCTGAGCCCAGGTGGCCCATGGTGTGCGCGATGTAGCGCAGGAGAGAGGGCAGGGCGGGGAGGGAGGCAGGGCAGAGGAGCGAGGAGACGCTGGCTGAGGTCTGGGGGGGTGGAGAGAGGGGGGTGGTGGGGGGAGGACGGCATGTGGAATGTTGACAGCATGTTGACAGCACGTTGACACATGAAACCATGGCAGATGGAACAATGAAATGTTTCACAGCAAGCAGTTAACCTTCCCTTCCCTGGTCCAGTATGTGCTTCTTGCCCTAATCCCCTCCTCCCCACACATTCTCGCCCACTCCACTCCTCCCCTACTCCCATTCCCCTCCCTCTCCCTCTACCCCCGTGCGATGCACTCACCCAGCACAGTGCAATGCAGCACACCAGCAGCTGCCCCACGATACGATGCAGCTCATACGGGTCCTGCTCCCTGCCTCCCCTCCCTCCCTCCGCTACCCCAGCTGCTGCTGCTGCTGCCCCCAAGGCCCCACTCTCTCCCATTGCCGCACCAGCACCGCCAGTCGCACCAGCAGCAGTGACACCAGCACTAGTCTCGGGTGCAGTAGCGGTGGAAGCGGCAGGGGGAAGGGGAGGAGGGGCGGGAGGGGAGGGGCGGTGGGAGAGGAGGAGGCGGAGGAGGGCGAGGAGGGTCCAGAGGGCGCAGACGCCCCCCACCGCTGCCATGTCGCGAGACGACGACTCCACCTGGGGTGGAGGACCGTGGGGACGAGGGTGGCGGGGTGAGAGGAGGGTGGTGGGGTGAGAGGGGAACAGTGGCATGTCAAGAGGGTGAATGACAAGAATGATGTGATGTGATGGGTCATGAGCCAACGCACAGCGAGCTTCTGAAGAGGAAGCAAGCAAGCTGGCTGGCAGGCAGGCGGGCAGGCAGGCAGGCAGGCAGGCAGGCAGGCAGGCAGGCAGGCAGGCAGTTGGTTGGCTTGGCAGGTGGGCAGCATGGCACGGCACCTGCTGCAGGAGCTGGTCGTAGTGGTTCATGACGAGGAAGGCGAGCTGTGTGAGCACGTACACCAACGGTCCGAACAGAAACGTGCCCAGCACCGTCGCCATGCCGATGTACGACTGGCACAGGCCTACCGGGGGGCAGAGGGGTGAGGGGGAGGGGCGGGGAGAGGTGGAGGGGAGGGACCGGGAGAGCAAAGGGACCGGGTGGAGGAGAACATGAGTGAGAACAAAGGGATGAGGAAAAGAGGCGAGGGAGACGTGGCGGAAGCAGCTCCCAGCACCGTGGCCATGCCGATGTACAGCAAAGCGAGGGGCGGGGTAAGGGGCCATGTGAGGGGCCGGCAGGTGGGGAGACAGGACAGGGAGAGGCAGTGGAGGGCAAGAAGAGTGGCGTGCCCAGCGATGTTTTTAGCAATAATGCAAGAGCGGGCAGTGTCAAACAACTACGATAGACTATCGACGCCAGCCTTATTCGCAGAAGAAGAAGAGCAATAACTTTCTCAAGGAGGAAGGTTTGCAAGGCTGACCGTATTCGCAGGCGAAGAAGAAGGTGGCGGGAGTGACGGGCAAGCTGCCGTAGATGAGCCCCGCGAGGGACAGAGAAGTGTCGTCCGCTGCCGTGGAGGCGAGGGGCACAGGGCGCGGGGTGGGTGGGGATAGGAGGAGAGGGGGAGGGAGGACTTTTGGGTCGACTCAAAAGGCACCTTTTTACAATGTAGATGAACCCCGCGAGGGACAGAGAGGTGTCGTCTGCTGTGGTGGAGGCGAGGGGCGAGGGGCGAGGGGCGAGGGGTGGGAGTGGGAGAAAGCAGGAGGGAAGGAGGAGGGGAAGAAGGTAAAGAAGAGGAAAGCAGTGAGGAGATAACAGGGACGAGCCGAGCACAAAAGGCGATTGGCAGCAAGAGCAAACGTTGAATCCAGCCCAGTCGATGAGGAGATTCCAGGGCGAGAGAGCTTTTACTCAGTTGACGCGTGCATCAAAGGCCAGGCGCATCTAAGGCTGGGCGCATCAAAGGCCACACATGGCAAGAGGGCGAGTACCTTGGAAGGAGGCGAGGAGCAGGAGGATGAGCAGCGGCAGCACAAGGCACTTGCCGGCCACGAGTGCGAGCGAGAGCAGCAGCGGGCCCAGGCGCGTCTGTTCGTCCGACGCCTTCTCTGTCTCGTCCGCCATGGACATGCCGAGGATGAAGAGCGAGAGCGGGGAGAAGGCCGCTCCAAACGACTGGGGGGGGGAGGGGAGAGGGGTTGGGAGGGGTTGGGAGGGGTTGGATTGTGGGATGTGTGAGCGAGTGTAAATGTGATGGAGCCTGGATGTTAGAAATCTAAAAATTGTGAATGTATGAGGGAGCAGGTGAGTGTGAGGGAGCTGGTGAGTGTGAGGGAGCATGTGAGAGTGTCCAATGAGAGTGCATGTGTGAGTGAGCATACCTCAAAGGGTCCTGAGATTAAGGGGGGAATGTCATGGTTGAACATCCAGTTGGCCGCGAGACCCAGAGGTACCTGAGGGCAGGGATAGGGGGGTGGGGGGGGGGAGCAGCGAGAGGGAGCAGAACCGAAAGAGCAGGGTTAAGGGAGCCAAGGGAGAGGAGATAGAGAATGGGAGAGAACGGGAGAGAACGGGAGAGAACGGGAGAGAACGGGAGAGAGTGAAGGGAAGGTAGAGAAGTGGGCAAGAGGAAGGCACAATGAGGCTGAGGAGGGAGGTAGAGAATTACAGTGACGAAGCTGAAGCAGGGGTGAAGGACTATCACAAGCCATCTTCATAAGCAGGGTGAAGGAATGAGCAAACGGAGCTAGATAACGAGGAGCAACATTGCTTTGAGATGGCGCAGCAAAACTGACGAGACTACCCCCCCCCGTGTCGCCGTACCTTAAACATAAACCTGAAGAGACAATGTTGTTCAGCTACGATTAGCCGACGAGAAGCTCCGACTTCGATGGGGGGTCCAGCTCAACATGACATGACATGACATGACATGACATGACATGACATGACATGACATGACACGACATGACATAACATGACATGACATGAGGAGCACCCAGCGCAAAGCACCCCGACGAAGCGTCTCACCGTGAAGATCACGGGCGATGCAAACACCCCGTTCAAAACCTTCCATCCACATTCATGCGCATGTGCGCTTCTGGGCGCCCAGCCTCAAAGATACGTTCCACATGTTCCAACATATTGCAAGCAAGCACCCCACGGCTCACCATGAAGCCCACGGGCGAGGCAAACACCCCGTACAGCACCTTCCACATGCGCATGTGCACTTTGAGCCGCCTCTAGAGCACATTCCACATGACTGAGAACATTGAATCACCATACCGCAGGCACCCCGCGTCCACTCCCACCCACGGCTCACCATGAAGACTACAGGCGAGGCAAACACCCCGTACAGCACCTTCCACATGCGCATGTGGCTGCGCCCGCCCCTCCTCTTCCCACTCTTCCCCCCCACCACCTTCACACTGCCCCTCAGCTTCCCTGTGTACGCCCTCCTCGTCCACCCCGGGGGCAGCTCCAAAGCACCTCCTCCCTCCCCGCCAGCACCAGCACCAGCAGCACCGCCATCGCCACTGCCAGTAACAAGCTCACCATCAATCAGCCCACCCCCCACATCTTCCGGCCCTTCTCTCTCTCCCCCCCTTCCCACCCCGCCACCACTGGCAACACTTGCAACCCCTCCAGCAGCAGCGGCAGCAGAGGGGGGGCCCAGGGGAGCAGGGAGGGCGCGGGACAGGGGGGATGGAGCCATGGTGGGTTGCATGGGGGCACGGGAAGGGGAAAGGGAAAGGGTGGAGGCTGGTGGATGGGAGGGCGAGGATGATGACTGGGAGGGAGGAGGAAGGGAGAGGAGGGAGGGGGAGAGAAGAGAGGAGCGTAGGGTTTTGGGGGGGGAGCAAGCAGTGAAGGGTGTGGGGGGAGGTGGGGGAGGGAGGGCGTTGTTGCTGCGAGGGCCTGAGCCACTGAGGGAGCGGGTGTGGTGAGACGTATGGCTTCTGCGGCCCAAGCTGCTGCTGCTAGGGATCACACCACTGGCAGTGCCTCCAGCAGCAGCAGCAGTAGCAGCAGCAGCTGCTGCAGCAGCACCTTCTCTCTTGCCCAGACTGCTGCCCACCCTCAAATTCGTCCCTTGAGTTCCCACTCCCTCTCCTCCTTCGGTAGCTCTGCGGGTAACAGAATCAGCTCGGAAGCTCCCAGAGTCCTTGGGAGGCACTGGGGAGGCAGACACAGCAGAAGCAGTGGGAGATGTAGAAGCAGCGTGACTGATTACGGAAGGATGCTCTGTTGAAGAATTCTCCTGTGTACCCTCCTGTGTACCCTCCTGTGTACCCTCCTGTGAACCAGCAACCAAACTGGAGCCCGGACCAGAACCATTAGGAAGCAGCCTTCTTCTCTCCTCCTCTTCAACGCTCCCCTCTCCCCCCTCCTCGTTCCCCTTATCTCGCGCCTTCTCCTTTCCCCTCTTCTCTTCCTCCTCCCTCTCCTCTTTCTCAAGCGCCTCCACCGCACCTTCCTCCCCTTCCGGCACCAGGTCGCAACACTCCCACAGATCCCCCTCCCCTGCACCACCCACTCCTCCCGCTCTACCTCCCACGCCCGGCTCTACACCGTACTCCTCCTCCCCTTCCTCCCCGCCCTCGTCGTCCTCCCCCCCGGGCTTGCGGTCTGACTCCATGAGCAGGAAGCCGAGGGGGTTGAGGAAGATGAGCGAGATGGGCGCCACCAGGTACAGGTACCCGATGTACTCGGGGTGCAGCGCGCCGAAGATGGGCTGTGGGGGGAGAGGAAGGAATTGGGAGAGAGGAAGAAGGGTAAGGGAGAGAGGAAGAAGGGTTAGGGAGAGAGGAAGAAGGAAAAGGGAGAGAGGAAGAAGGGTTAGGGAGAGAGGAAGAAGGAAAAGGGAGAGAGGAAGAAGGAAAAGGGAGAGAGGAAGAAGGAAAAGGGAGAGAGGAAGAAGGAAAAGGGAGAGAGGAAGAAGGAAAAGGGAGAGAGGAAGAAGGAAAAGGGAGAGAGGAAGAAGGAAAAGGGAGAGAGGAAGAAGGAAAAGGGAGAGAGGAAGAAGGAAAAGGGAGAGAGGAAGAAGGAAAAGGTGGAGCGCGCTGAAGATAGGCTGCAGGGGTGGCAATTAGAGAGGGGGACCAATGATGATGAGAGGAAGAGGCACGAGGGGTGGGAGGCAAGGGGCGATGATATGCCGGAGAGGTAGACAAAGCTAATGGCAAGGCCGAGAGGCAAGGTTGAGAGGCAAGGCTGAGAGGCAAGGCTGAGAGGCAAGGCTGAGAGGCAAGGCTGAGATGATACAGCAGTTTTTAACTCTGCGCTTCAGGATTGCGAGAGAGGCAAGCCGGTTTGGAGTGCGAGATCAGCCTGGAAACGTGTGCAGGATTGGCATTCTCCTGGGAGAGTGAGAGAGAGTGTGGGTGGGGCGTAGGGTGACGGGGGGGAGGGTGGGGGGAAAGGGGGATACCTGGAATATGGGGAGGCCGAGGGCGAAGTCGTTGGACTGTGAGACGAAGATGCCGTTGACAGCTCCTGTGCCCACCACCTGGGGCTTGCCGATGTCCAGCAGCATCGTGATGCCTGCCACGTGCCACGCCATTCATGCCATGTCATGCCATCCCATGCCATGCCATGCCATCCCATGCCATCCCATGCCATGCCATGCCATGCCATCCCATGCCATCCCATGCCATGCCATGCCATCCCATGCCATGCCATGCCATCCCATGCCATGCCATGCCATCCCATGCCATGCCATGCCATGATTTCTCGAATGTCAAAGCGCAGTGTCAGAGGGAACTAGGGCCAACGAAGGCACACGGATCAAAGCGGTTTGGGGGAACAGCTCAGAGCGGCAATGGGCCTGAATAGAGCCATAACTCGAGAGCCAAAAGGCCATGACTTGCGCCATGAATTGAGTCATGATGCGAGTCATGCATCGAGTCATGATGCGAGTCATGAATTGAGTCATGATGCGAGTCATGAATTGAGTCATGATGCGAGTCATGAATTGAGTCGTGATGCGAGTCATGAATTGAGTCATGATGCGAGTCATGAATTGAGTCATGATGCGAGTCATGAATTGAGTCATGATGCGAGTCATGAATTGAGTCATGATGCGAGTCATGAATTGAGTCATGATGCGAGTCATGCATTGAGTCATGAATTGAGTCATGATGCGAGTCATGAATTGAGTCATGATGCGAGTCATGAATTGAGTCATGATGCGAGTCATGAATTGAGTCATGATGCGAGTCATGAATTGAGTCATGATGCGAGTCATGAATTGAGTCATGATGCGAGTCATGATGCGAGTCATGAATTGAGTCATGATGCGAGTCATGAATTGAGTCATGATGCGAGTCATGAATTGAGTCATGATGCGAGTCATGAATTGAGTCATGATGCGAGTCATGAATTGAGTCATGATGCGAGTCATGAATTGAGTCATGATGCGAGTCATGAATTGAGTCATGATGCGGGGACCATGATTATCGCCACGGACACAGCCCCGCGCAGTGCAGTGCAGTGCAGTGCACGCACCAAGGGCGAGGAGGAAGACAGCTGTCTTGCCGATGGTAACGGCGAGGAGGAAGGCCCAGTTGACCTTGGAGAAGTCCAGCGCCGCCATGCCCGAGAACAGCAGCGCCGGCAGCGCCAGCTTCGTCACGAACAACGACAGGCCCTGCCGTGGTGGTGGTGGCAATGCCATTGGTGGTGGTGGTGGTGGTGGTGGTGTGGGGAACGTAGGGGGGATTCGGGAGCGGAAGGAGGGGAATTGTGGGTTTGGAGGTAAGCGTGAGGGGAACATTGGGAAGTGTGGTAAGTGGGGGCGGGGGAGGGAGAGGGGAGCGGGTGGATTCTGGATGGCGGCTTGGAAGGGTGAAGGTGCGTGGGAAGGGAGGGAGGGAGGGAGGGAGGGAGGGGGGGTCGTTCGTACTTGTTTGTGTTGCGGCTTGACCACTTCCAGCTTCACGCACGCGTATCCGATGAGGATCACTGCGAACGACTGCCACAGCGCCGGGATCAGGCTCTCCATCGCGCGCGCCATGTCGTCGTCCCCGCCCCCCGCCCCGATCGCTCCCCCCATTCCCCCGATTCCCCCGATTCCCCCCACGATCCCTCCGACGATCCCCCCCGTGTTGCCTGAATGAAATTGTCCTGCGAGCGCGGATCCTTCCGCATCGGTGGAGATCAATGGCGGAAAGATGGACGAAGGGGTGGTGGGGAGCGGAGATAATGCGGGATTGGCGGTGACAATTGCGCTATGTAAAGCGGTGGAAGTGGCATTGGCGACGGTCTGCGCGAGATGCGCGGACGGCTGGGGGAATAGCCCACCCGCTGCGGGGCTGCGCATGGCGGATGAGCGGAAATGAATAAATAGCCTATCGCTCCTGGTGATCGATATGATGGTACCGACCTGATAAATAGCCTATCGCGCACTACAGCCCCACGACGCGCTACATCGAGAAACCTGCACTACGAGCCGACGCCAAACACTCGCAAGATCGGAGCTTGTCAGCAGCGCGCTCGCCTAGCTCTATCGGTGCGCAGCAACCGCATTGACGACGGTTGAGAGCAGGAGTTGAGCTGAATCGAGTGTGATGGATGCGGGCGGCATGGCGCAGAAGGTGCGGAGGCAGTCAATAGAAGTGCCAGCGCTGGTTTGGGAATAGGGATGGGAAGAGGGGAGGCGAGGGGGGCTGGGTTGTGCTTGGGGGGAGGGGGGGGGAATCGGGCTGAGTTGTGTGATGAGCCAGTAGACGGTGAGAGATGGTGCTGATGCAGGCTCGGCAAAATGTAAGGGGAGATCTCATATGGAGGACGGCTCGGGTCGCAGATGTGACACCCGGTACTGGCTGCTGATTGGTTATCGGTCATGGTTTTGTACAAAATGACGGATTGAGGATACCAGAGATCGTTTCGCCCTTTTTTTTCGTGCTGCTGGCGACCTTCGCAAGCCGTCTTTCTGAAGCAGGTTTAGTCTAGGCTGGGCGGAGAGACTGCCATCGTACTTTGGCGAGAAGTTTAGCGAAGAGCCGAGAGTGGTTCGGAACCGAACCTGACGGCCGCACCAAACGCCAAACGCAAGTTTCAGCGCAGAGATCCGCATAGGCAGCCATTGGTCCGTGTGCGTCCACGGCTTCGGCCACGTGGAGCCAGCTTTGTGGTCGCAGATTGTACTTCTCAAGAGCATGGCGAGGAAATTGCGAAGTTGTTGAAAAGTACACTGAACTAAAAAAACTCGTTAACCAGCTTTCTGAAGAAGGTAGCTTGAAACCACAAGTCATAAAACCCCTCCAGTCCAGTATTTCCGAGGGTGTAGGGTTCGGTGATCATTGTCTCGCCTTAGCCTTAGCCTTCAGATGCCTGAAAGAAGTAAAGCACCAGTCGCTACCCGAGTCGCTTACTTCCGATCCACCCCCGATCCCGACGCCGCAAGAGCCGCCTGACTGCTGGAATCAAGGCAGTACAAATATTCGTGAAATTCTTTCCCCCCGAAAAGCCTTCCGATCACGAGCTCCCTGCAGTAGCAGTCTGAACAAAGTGAGAAGCTGTTCTTCCCCCAAAAGCCTCCCGCCGTTTCAGTCAAGCAAGACTCGTCGCGCAGCTTCAGCGTTTCCTCCTCATGTCGTCGTCGCAATGGCCGCTGCTAGTCGCGGCCGGAATCGGCGGCTTCGCGGTGGGGTGCTTCTGGGGGCACTTAATCTCCTCGGCGCGATGGCGGCGCGCGGTCCTGGAGCTACAGGCGTGGCAAGCGGACAACGCGGGGGGAGGTGGCGGGAGGAATTCGGGCAAGGCGGGGAAGGGGGGCGTGCTGCTGGAGCTAGATAATATGGCGCGGCAGTTCGAGGACTTCAAGATGGTGCGTGTGCGTTGCGTGTGCGGTGCGCGTGCGGTGCATGTGTGGTGCGTGTGCTGTGCGTGTGTGGTGCGTGGCAGAGCACTGGCAGCCATCTTGTCCGTCTGGTAGTTCCAACTCTATTCGAGCTCTTCCGTTTCCCACCGCTGAGCTCGAGCGAATGTGGCGCTGTGCCCGTGCCTTCGCCGAATCGTCCCTCGCACAGAACCACTCCGCGTTGCTGCCACTGCGCCTCATGCCCTTGCCATACAGTGATACTGCTTTGGAGTCGACTCAAAAGCAGACTCATGCCCTTGCCATACAGTGATACTGCCGGTCGTCGGTCCATCATGGCATGGCCGCACGTCACACCAGCCTGCCTCCTTCCTTGCCATGCCATGCCATGCCATGCCACCACATTATGCCTCCGAGCCATGCCATACCATGCCAATCGCTGGCCGTGTGGTTGCCTGGGGATTGCAGGTGCTGGTGGTGCGCAACGACTTGAAGATGGGCAAGGGCAAGATCGGCGCGCAGTGCGGGTGAGACCACCACACCGAGACACCCCTCATGCCACCCATCCATCCCATCCCTCCAAGCAACCCCTCAGTGCGCCTGTCTCTTTGTCTCTTTGTATCTCTCTCTTTTTGTCTATCTGATCGTCCGCGCCTGCGTGGGTCCATGTCCATCCACGTTCACACCACACCACACCACACCACACCACACCACACCACACCCCACCCTACACCTGTTCTCCACCTTGCATGGATCGCATCTTCATACTCACTCAAGCCCTCCCTTCCCTTTCCCTTCATTTCCAACCGTTCCCACTCTATGCCCCGTAGCTCATCCTCTCCCATTCTCCCTCCACCACGCCCCCTTTTCCCCTGCCATCCATCTCTCCGTCTCATCTCATTCTGCGTCTCTCTGTGTTGCTGCCTCCCTGCCAGCCATGCCACGCTCGGCCTCTACAAGAGGCTCGCCAAGAGAGCACCTACAGCTCTGGAGAGGTGGGTGCCACCCCATTCCCTGCCCCTCCGTCCCTCCCCCTTGCCTCCCCCTTGCCTCCCCCTTGCCTCCTTCTTGCCTCCCCCTTGCAACCTCCTTGCCCCCCTCTTGCCCCCCCCTTGCCTCCCCCTTGCCTCCCCCTTGCCTCCCCCTTGCCTGTCCTCTGGCCACCTCCCTTTCTTCCCTGTGTGCTCTCGTCATTACTTGCCTTGATCACTGCTCCTCTTCCCCTCCCCTTCCCCCTCCCCTCCCCTTTCCTGCTGTCTCCCCCATTGCCCGCATACTCCAACGAATCCCCTTCATCCCCCGTGCACATACCCACCATGCAACCTGCTCGTCCTCCCCTTATATCTCCCCCTCGCCCCCCGTGTTCGCCCTCGCTCCACCTTTTCCCCCCCTCGCTGCGGCTGGGCGTGTGGCAGGTGGGACGAGAACGGGCAAGTGAAGGTGGTGGTCAGAGTGGACTCCGAGGAGGAGCTCATCATTCTGCAGGCACGCCTCCCTCCCTCCTCTCTCCTCCCTCCCCTCCCCTCCCCTCCCCTCCCTCCCCTCCCTCCCTCCCTCCCCTCCTCCCCTCCCTCCCCCCCTCCCCTCCCTCGCCTCCTCCCCTCCTCCTCCCCTCCCCCACTCTCTACGTTCGTCTCGTTTGCCTCTCCTCGAGTGCTCCGTTCTCCTTGTTCTCTTCCCCTGCACGACATTGCTGAAATCCTGTGCCAAAGCATTGTACTTGATAGATCTACTGCAACCTCATGACGCCCTGGCTCTCTTTCTGTTTCTGTGCCACCGTGTCCCCTCTCCCCCTCTCCCCCTCTCCCCCGATCCCCATTATCTCTGTTCGCCCGGGGCCTCGTTCCATCTCTCTGTCAATCCGCTTTGGCCTCGTTGGCTTCAGGACAAGGCGAAGAAGTCAGGTCTTCCGACGCACATCACCATCGACGCTGGCAGAACGCAGATCGAGCCAAGTACGTTGGGCCTCTGCCTCACTGCTCGCTTTCGATTGCTCCGATTGTCTTTCTTCACCATCTCAGTTACAGCAATCATGCGCGCTGCGTTTTGCCATCCCTTTTACCCATCGCATGTTGTGCCCTGCTGGAGGTTCGTTCCCTTGTCACTGCTCCTGTCGCCATGGTCGCTGTGTCTCTGTCCCATAATTTTCTCTCAACTCTTACCCTCTGCTTGTTAATTTCTTGATCGCTCTCTGTACATGCAGACTCCAAGACAGTTATGGCCATCATTGGTGAGATCCGACAGCGTGTGCTCCTTGCACCTTGTGCCTTGCTCCTAGTGCCTGAGCCTTTTGAAGCACATCCGTCATGCATGCCGTACATGCCATACATGCTGTACATGCCATACATGACATACGTGCCATACGTGCCATGCTTGCCATACATGCCATGCATGCTGTACATGCAGTGCATGCCTCTTCCACCATGCTTTCCTTATGTCTACAGTTCCTCAGTGCGCCGCTGCTGTCGCTCCCTCGCCTGTTGCCTCCCTTTGCTGTCGCTCTCTCTGCCGTCTCTCTTTCCTGCATTGTCTGTCTTTGCAGGTCCACAGCATATAGTGAGTGACATCACCGGGCACTTGAAGCTTCTCTGAGGGGCGAAGCAAGAAGCGTTACAGTAACTACGGGGCCAATGGCGAATTCAAACACGCATGTTGCGGAAAGTTGCAGTCATGTTTCGGGTGCGACAGGCAAAAATAGCAAATTCCAATTCAAGTTGGGTGCCTGGTATCTGGAATCATCATGGACTAGACTAGACGCGAGCATCTGCAACGTGCACAGGAAACGTGACACATGAGAAATACATGTACCGATTTTTTTGTCGCTGGATTACATGCGGCAAGTTGGGTGCTGGACATTGTAATAAATATATTAATGGTGGCAGTATATGCCAGTATACAAGAAATAAATAGGGCAAGAGTACAGAGGGGTGAACATAAGGAGTGCATGGCGCTCAACAGTAGCAAAAAAGGAGGCTAGGCTGGAGCCTGAAAGCTCTCCCGGATGCCTAGGCACCCAAGGCATGCTGCTGAAGCAGATTCTCCACCTAAGAACCAAAGAGAGGAGCCCAACCAAACCGAACCAAACCCAGCCACATGCACAAGACCTCAGTCAGATGATGTAAGTCATGCCATCATCCGACGAGGTTGACTTGGATGGGCCCACCTCCATGAGCCGTGGATGTGAATGCCCATGCGGATGCAGATGCGATGCCGCTGACAACCCGCCTCCAGCCTTGGCTGCTGCAGCGGCGGCAGCAGCCGCGGCCTCCACAACTGCGAGCGAGTTGAGTCCGCCGAAGCGGCGCTGTGGGCTCTGGGTCGACTGGGTCGAGCCTGAATTGCGCACACCTGGCAGGGTCATCAGCCGCAGCAGCTTCTTCCCGAGCGCACTGTGTGTTGGGGTGTGTGGAGCCGGCTGCTGGGGATGGTGCTGCTGGTGGTGCTGGCTGTGGTGCTTGTCTGCGGACGAAGAAGGCCGTGCCGGACCCATGGCGTTCTGCCCGGAAAGCAGGTTCCGAAGGTAGTATATGTTGTGGTGCTGCTGGTGCAGCTGCTGATGCTGTTGCTGCTGGTGGTGCTGCTGGTGCTGGTTCTTTGACGAGGCATCATGTGAGGCGTAGGTCGATACTCGTTGGAAGTTGAGCTGCAAGGTGTGCCGCCAAAGAAACAATGGTGCGAGAGAGAGCGAGCGAGAGAGAGAGAGAGAGAGAGAGAGAGAGAGAGAGAGAGAGAGAGAGAGAGAGAGAGAGAGAGAGAGAGAGAGAGAGAGAGAGAGAGAGAAGAAAAGAAGAGAATAAACCCAGTTTAGTCATGAGAAAAGCGAAATGGGACAAGAGATGGGAGCACGAGCGTGGGAGAGAGCGAAGTAAACCAGTACACCCATGCCACAACACGAGCCACAGCGGTGGGGGGTGGGGCTTCATTCATACCTCTCCAGACTGATGATGCTGGCTGCGTGTTCCAGATCGAGGCGACTGCCATGACCCATGCTTCACAGCAGCACCTGCCGCACCACCACCACCGGCCGCCGCAGCAGCAGCAGGAGGGGCAGGCGCGGCAGGGCCGAAGGCGGACATGGCGAGTCCTTCGAGGTGCGCGAGGGGGTCCACCACGTGCAGCAGCTTCAACTGCCGAGCCAGCTCCTCACTTTCCAGCGGGGGGCTTGTTGCCTTCGCCGACACTCCCACTTCTGCCCGCTGCTCATGCTGCTCATGCTGCTGGTGCTGCTGGTGCTGCTGGTGCTGCTGGTGCTGCTGGTGCTGCTGGTGCTGCTGGTGCTGCTGGTGCTGCTGGTGCTGCTGCTGCAGCTGCTGCGCGTAGTAAAGCTCGTGCCGGAATAAGTGATGCCGGTCCTCCGGCAGCCAGCGCGCCTCGTGCAGGTGCTGCTGCTGCTGATGGAGCATGGACTGCTGCTGCGCCAGCAGCATCAGCATCAGCTGCGACTCGTCCTCAACGGCCAACTGTGCCGCTCCCGGAGCTCCCATCGCCGCTTCCTCGTCCACCAGCTGAAGCTGCCGCGGCAGAAACGCCGCCGCCGCCGCTGGATGCGCGTCATAGTACGGCCAGTCTCCTTGGCGCCCCCCGCCTCTTTCCAGAAGGTCGATTGAGCTACTGCTGCTAGAGTAACTAGTGGCACTAGTCGGGTTGCTCCTACTGCGAAAAGCGGCCGACGGTTCCTGCATGGCGGGTGGCGGGGACGACCCGCCGTGGAACGAGGACGCGTAGTGATGCACGAGGCGGCTCGGCGGGGGCGACGCGGACGTGGACGGCCGCACGCCGCCCATGGACTTGCTCCGGAGAAGCGGGTCGCCCGTTGACGGATCCATGGCGGCCGACGGATCGACAATGGACGACGGATCCAGGGTGGACCAGGAGCCTCCTGAGGAGATGCTTCCCGAGGAGCCCAGGTTGACTAACGTACTCTCGTCATAATTCGGGTTGCTGGTAGCAGTCGACGCAGTAGTAGCAATAGTATTCGTCTTATGAAGAACCGTCGACGGCGACGCGCGGCTCCTAATCGAAGTAGTAGGAGACCCGTCGGCGGATAATACGTGCTGAGGCGGCAACTCGGAGTCACCTTCGTGCGACGATGCCGTCTCGGCGGACGCCGCGGACGCGGAGCCTTCTGACGGCGCCGGCGACTTTTCGCGCGAGCCGTTGCCACGCCACTGGCAGTCAGGTCCGTGACCGCCAGCGTGGCCGTTCAAGTTGAGACTCCGGCTTCCGCCGAATCCCTTCTTCCCCATCCTCATCGTCTTCGCGGCGGCAGCGGCGGCGGCGGCGGCTTCCGCCTCTTGCAGCTGGAGCTTCCAGGCGTAGTCGCGTCGCGGCATGAGATAGTACATGGCGCCCGAGGTCAAGCAGCGGTGCGGGTTGATGGGGTCGAAGCACGCGCCGCTCCCTGCGCCTGCATCAGCGCCGCCGTCGCTGCCGCCAGTGGTTGCGGAGGATAGAACTATGTTCCGGGGAGTAGTACTAGTAGCGGAGGCGGAAGCGGTGCTACGGGCGTCGTCGGCGTCGCCATCGTCGTCGTGCGTGTTTTCGTGGTTGCGATGGCGATTGCGCTTGCGATTGCGATCGCGGTCGTGGTTGCGGTTGTCGCCGCCGGTGGCGGTGGTGGCGGTCGGCGCGGGCGAGAGGAAGAGGTCGTGGTGCGGGTACTCGCGAAGCACGTCGCGCGCGATGAGCAGCGGCTCGTCGAAGAGGCGGATGGAGCCGTCCGGGAGACACACGAGCACGTGCGAGGAGGCCATGACGATGGCTGCGCGGCACCGCGCGGGTTCTTCTTTGAGAGAGAAGAAATGTATCTCGTTGCTGCTGGTACGAGCTGCGCTTGCAGAACTACCAGCGGGGAAGAATGGTTTTTACTCGGATGGAAAGAGGGCGAGAGAGGGAGACGGAGTGAGAGAGAGAGCGTGTGTGCGCGCAGCAGCAGTGCTGACGGAAAGCTGTCGCAAATGCAGCAAGTTCGCTGAACTTGAAAGGCCCTAGAAGAGAGGAGGTGGTATGTATTTGTAGCGTGACTGGGGTGCGCGTGCGCGAGTTATCGCTGGACGGAACCACTGCATACCCTGGCGGACTGAGGCCGTATGTTTGGGAACATGGGCGTGCGATTGGAGATTTGTCACACACATGTCATGTGGTGGTGTTTTCTGGGAGGGGGAGAATTCGGAACGAAGGATGGACAGATGCGATGTGCGCAAATGAGCGACGGGGAGAGGAGATTCGAGAAGCCGGAGAAATTCCTGCCACAGCTGGCATCCACTACGCCGAGCCGCCCTTTCAGCAGGCAGAAAGAGATGGACGCCTTGCCAGGTTGGAATCGGGAGTCCAGATTCACCCTTTCTGGGCAGGGGTCGGGATTCGGGAATCGGGATTCAGAATTGACCTCCCTCGTCAAGCCACACTGTCGCCCAGAGTTTCTGGGATGGAAGTAGCGAGCCTCGAGTCAACAAAGCTAGCCTACTGAACCCTCGGGTCATCCATAAAACTTGAGCATTCTGGACCTGCTGCAATCGCTTAAGGCATATCCTAAGAGTACGAACGAGACATTTTTTCCTGAGGTACAGTTACCACCTAGAGCACAGTAACCGTAACTAGAATTGCCCACGAGGACACATACAGGCACGTCCCCCCAAACCGCGACAAAAACAAGCATTTTGGGATGTCGCAGCGACTGTACCCAGCACGTCGCCAGGTACACCCACCAAAACGCTACACGTCCTCGTAGGCTGGATACCACCTTACAAAATTCACGAAATTGTTAGAATAGCGTGAAAGATTGACTAGGAAAAGGGGGAGGGGAAATACAAGAGTGTTGTCGTCTCTAAAAGCTGTTCCAGCTAGGTTATAACAAACATAACAAACCTAGCTAGATATACAAATATGTTTGTTGACACACCCCCTACCCTAGGTAGAGACAGCGTTTATCAAACCAGGGCAGCACTATCAGTCTGGCCTCTGGTGAAGGTAACAAGTTAACTCAGGGCAGCACTACTAGTTTGAGACAAGAGGCCACAAGGCCATTCAGCAAGTGTAATAAGACATGCAGGTATAGAATGTGTCAGGATACAAGAAGCGGAGCTGCTATTGAGACTAGACCATGCTGAGTACAGAACCGCTGATGATCACGAGACGATAGTGCCTTGGTGAAGATATCAGCGGTGTTGGCCTCTAAGGCCAACACTATACGAGCCTGGCCGTGCTGCTGCAACTCATGCAGCAAGAAGTACCGCACCTGGATATGCTTCGCCCTGCCCTCAAGTCGAGCCTCCTGACACAAGATGATCATGGCCTTGTTGTCAGCAAACAGGGTCAGGTTAGACCTAGGCTGCTCACCTAAGTCTGTGAGTATGAACGACAACCAGCAGAGCTCATGAACGGCTATGACCCCAGCGTAGATCTCTGCCTCATAACCAGACTGAGCTACAGACGACGACCTAGTGGACCTCCACGAGACGTGACCAGAACCAAGACTAAAACAGTAGCCCTGAGACGATCTGGGCGTCTCCAAGTCGTCAGCCCACGATGCGTCTGTGTGTCGAGTGAGCACCACAGGCTCCCGTCCTCCTAGTACAAGCCCCGATCCTGATGTACTCGCCAGATACCGCAGTACCCTCTTGGCAGCCGCCCAGTAGACTGGTCGGTGCCTGCCTGTCACAACAAAGTGAGCCAGGAGACTGAGAGGGTACGCTAGATCAGGTCGAGTGCATGTCATCAGGTACATGAGGCACCCCACTAGCTCTGCGTATGGACCACTAGGCTCGACCGGAGTAGGAGCAGAGAGTTTGTGATCCACATGCAGAGGAGTGGGCTGTGCTAAGGAGAACTGGAAATTGAACCGATGAAAAAACATGCTGCACCATATGGGACTGGGAGAGTGTGATCATGTGAGCGGCACGGTCACGAGTGATCTCCAAGCCCAGATAGCGCATTAGCTCTCCCAGGTCAATGCAGTTGTGCCTCCTAAATAGCTCGGCCTTCACTGAGGCCAGTGCGTCTCTGTCAGGAATAACAAAGATAAGATCGTCTACGTACAGTAGGATGGAGAACGGGACCTGACCAGTGCGAACAAAGAGAGGGAATCACAAGAGGACGGAAAAAACTGCAGCTCAGCAAGTGTAGTGCGGAGCGAATCGTGCCACTCACGGGGCGCCTGGCGCAGGCCGTAAACAGGGTGGCGCAGGCTTCACTAGGTGTCAGGTGGGAAGGACCCAGAAAAGCCTAGTGGGAATTGGAGGTAGATTTGCTCGTGCAGACTACCCTGCAGGAAGGCTGTGAAGAAGTCGAATAAGTGAAGGTCATAGACACGCTGCGCGGCTAGATGAAGGAGCACCTGAAGAGTAGTCATCTTTGGGGTAGGGGAGAAGGTCTGGAAGAAGTCCACACCCTTTCATTGACTGAAGCCTCTAGCCATGTAACGCGCCTTGAACTTCGGCGGCTCTCGAGGTGCGTGCTTCACCCTGTAGCACATGCCATCGACCACGTTCACCCGGGAAGTGCGTCGACGTAAGTGCCTGTGAATCTGTAGGATGCCATCTCAGACCCCATGGCTTGCATCCAATGGGCTGCCCAGGGTCCCGACACCGCCTCATCATAAGAGCGCGGGATAGGGATGTCGATGACATCGAGGTCGCCCTCTAGGGATACAAGCATGGAGCAGAGAAGGGGTACAGCGGTAGCAAAGTAGGCCAGCTCGTACATGCCTGTCCTGTAGTAGGTCACTGCCAAGGGCAGGGACACCCCCGACGGACGGAGGACGGGTAGTATTAGAGACCAGAGTGGCAGCGTAGTTAGCGACAGCAGCGACAAGCAAAGAGACTGTCTAAGGAGGAACAGTAGGGTCAGTAAGAAGCGACGCAAGCAAGCGTGGGGTGGTAGGACGAGCAGTGCGAGCAGAGTGAGAGGGAGGAGTGGAGGACTGCGGGAGCGATGATAGAGGAGGTAACAGAAGAATGGGGACTGGAGGAGCACAAGAACGAAGGGCCATAGGGTGGACACTAGCGCAAGGAGAGATAGGACAAGCACCAAAGGGACAACAGACCGAGTGGGGAAGAACATGTAACTGGGGACGAGAGGGGAAGGGGGACAAAACAGGGGGCGAAGGAGAGCGCGGGGGGAAGCGAGCTGATGAGGAGTCCGGGGTAGAGAACAGCGGGTCGTAAATAGGGTCAGGTACAGGAGGTGGGACGCGCGGTCTGAAAGGGGAAGCGGAGGAAAGACCAAGGAGGCAAAGAGCACACTGCTGCTACTACGGCTGTTGCTGCTGCGGCTGCTACTGCTGCGACTGCTGCTGCTCCCTGTCCTCTCTAAGACCTCCAGCTCCATCTCGGTTACCACCGGCACTCTCCAGAACAGCACCCCCAGGACTAGCAGCCCTTGATGCACCACTCACAGAACCAGCACCCCCAGAGTCAACACCCCCAGAACTAGCACCCCCAAAACCAACACTCTTAAAGCCAACACCCCCAAAGCCCACTGCCCCCTGCTGCTAGTAATGTTCCGGTCGCTGAGTCCACTGCGGCGACTGCGGCTACAGCTGAGGCAAATGGGGGAGGCGGCTAAGGTGCCTAGGGTACCGGGGTTGGGGGAGGTGACATAGGGACAGCAGGCGCGCCCCCAGCACCTGGCCCCCAGAGTCAGCAGACTCCCCCACAGGCCCGTCCGAGGGGAACGAATTAGCGTGGGAGACATCAGACTGGGCCGGGCGGGGTGAAAGGGGTGCGGCGGGCGGGGCAGGGGCAAGGAAGAGAGGAGGAGGAAGGACTGGAGCACTATGGTGAGGGAAGCGCCTATAGTATGGGACCGTCTCATTGCAAGTAATGTCACGAGAGCAGTAGAAGCAGTGGTGTACCATGTGGAAAAACAACCCGTCAGGGGCATCAGACGGAAACCCCAGGAAGACACAAGGAAGAGTGCGGGCTGAGAGCTTGTCCGCGCCACCAGACGTGGAATGCAGAAGCTTTACGAGGAGACCCAGTCCAAAGAAGGAAAGGTCGGCGAAACCAGTTGGTGAGCTTCGTAGCGCATGACGAACGACCACAGAAAATGGGATGCACCGGTGTGGACCAAGGAGGTGCAAGCTACCTCCATGATCAGGTGGATGCGTTGCTCAGCGACCCCATTTTGTTGTGGAGATTTCGGCAGTGTGTACGTCTGGCGGATGCCCTCCGCAGTGCAGAACTGTCATAGACGACCCGAGGTGAACTCGCCACCACGGTCAGAGTGTAACCGAAATATGGGCAGGCGGTGCGGGGTGCAAATAGCTAGCAGCCACAAGAGGCACGTCAGCCTTCTGCTCCAACGGGAACACCGTGGTGAAGCGTGAGAAGTCGTCAATGATGACTACGAGGTGGCGCTCCCGGCTAAGACCATGGACTGGGGCAGGGCCTCAGACGTCCATGTGCAGTATCTGTAGCGGCGCTGTAGTAGGAGGAAACAAGGAGGAGTGGGGGGTGGCGAGCTATCGGCCCTCAATGCAAGAGGTGTAGAGGAGCGCTACCAACGGAGGCAGGGCGGGGAGCGACGCAGGAAAATCAGTAACTAGACAATGCTGGGACATGTGCCTAAGACGCGGGAGTACAAGGTAGCCTAAATGGTGGTGCCACGTGAGGGTTAGGTGGGCAAGGGAGCGTCAGGACCAAGATGAGGCTACCTCAGCAGATGCAGCAGCTGGCTGGGACTGAGTGTGCAGGATGCAGAGCCCTGATATTGAGTCATGCTCAAAAGTAGGTAGGTGTCGACTCGTGGCTGTGTCTGTGCTAGCTGCAGGTCTCTGAAGGCTAGGAAACATGGTGGTGACTCCTAGGTCATGGATGTGACCTATACCAACCAAGTTCCTGGCAAACTAGGGGATGTGCAGACCTGTCAGGGAGCTGGAGGGGACAGCTGGACAGGGGAGAGCGGTAGTGCTGCATGGGACAGCTATGGCTGGGGAGACTGCTAGTGCGATAAGAACGGGTGCAGGAAGCG